AGATGTGATGACTGTCTAGGATTATATTCAAAATCCCAGAAACAAACAAAAAAAAATTAATGCATTTACAAACTGCAGCACTTGCATAAAAGCAAGTTACACAGTTTTTGGAAAAGTCTTTAAATATTGGTCTGAACTTCATCAAATCTACACCCTTTAATCCAGGAATAATAAATCATATTCATTTCTCTGAATAGTTATTTATCGTCTGCTTTCATCTAAACTATACTTCAACATTGTTCTATTGTCTGCCTAACATTCACAAAACCATGACTTAAAAGATTTAAGCAGAGAAAAGAGAGGGAAAGGGTGTGTGTGGTATTCATGCCAGGGGCAAGGGAAGAAAGGAGTAAGGGAATGGATGTATTAATTACGGATAAATTAATACAGAAAAGAATTTAAAACATGAAAACTGCAAGATAACCATTTTAGCAAAAAAATGATCAATCAATGATGAAAATTAATGAAAATCAATGATTTGGGAAATGAACCTGTGAATTGGAACAAGCCAGTTAAATATGAAAAAAAATGTTAGCATTAATAGGATGCAGTTCCTATTTTTTCAAATGTCACGGAACCCAAATAAAAAGTAGCAACAATGAGATAGAAAGCATTTATGAATTGTAATTACAATATTATCCGTATGAGTCCATACTTATTAGTTTGTCAAACATGTACAAGATAGCAGGTACATACAATATGAACATGGACATGAATGAAGGAAATGAATACAGATAAATGGGGACAGTAGGACAGGGACGGTAGGCATGCTGGTGTTCTTATACACGCCCCTGCCCCCCTTTACGGACCTCTTAGGAATGGGGTGAGGTCCACGGTAGACAGTTTAAGGTTGAAGCTGTGAGGGTTTGAGGCTGTAACAATGGAGTCGGGTAGAGCATTCCAGGCATTGACCACTCTTGCTGAAGTTACATTTTCTGCAATTGAGTTTGGAGCCTTGAGTTTGTATTGATTGTTTGCCCGTGTATTATTGAGGTTGAAGCTGAAGAAGTTGTTGACAGGTAAGACATTGTAGCAGACAATTTTGTGTACTATACTTAGATCAGACCACAGGCAGCGCAGTTCCAGATTGTCCAAGCCCAAAATTTCAAGCCTGGTGGCATAAGAGATTCTATCGTGAGTAGAGGAGTGGAGTACACTTCTCGTGAAATACCTCTGGACCTGCTCAATCGTATTAATGTCTGATATACAGTGTGGATTCCAGGCAGACAAGCTGTATTCGAGATTGGTCTGGCAAAGGTTTTGTATGCCCTAGTTAGCAATACAATGTTACCGGAGAAAAAGCTTCGCAAAATTAGGTTAACAATTCTTAATGCCTTTTCAGCAGTGCTGTTACAGTGAGCTCTGGGGCTTAGATCATTTGAGATGAGTACTTCTAGGTCCTTGACAGAATGAGGGTCATCTACGAGGCCGTTTCCACCCAACTTGTATTTGGTGTTCTGATTTTTATTGCCAATGTGTAGGATAGAGCATTTATTAGTTGAGATTTGAAGTTGCCAAATAGATGACACATGGTCATCTAATGATAATATAATTACAGTATATACAATACCTGTCTATAATAATAGTCACAGGCCACTGCTACTTTCTTCAGATATGTAGATATTGCAACTAATAATCGTTAGAAGTCTGGATATCAGCTTGATTCAAAGGTAGAAGTGGGAGAATTGTCAAGAGAGCCAGAGATGTAGCACTGGCTTCATTTTTAATTTTATGAGTACCTTGAAGTTTCCTCTAAGTGGTCAGCAAAATAATACCTGCAAGCATTCATACATCCATGATCCCTAAAATGATATTCAACGTAACAAAAGTTGAATGAGAATCTGGAATTTCGTGAAATGAAAAATACCCACATCTTGCAAGATTCTTGAAGGGAAATTACCAATGATTCAGTATTAGGACTATTATGTAAAGTTGTATAATGATGCCTCTAGATCAGAAGTGATTGATGCCACATTAAGATAAAGCAATCTGCATTAATATATATTTTCTAAAAATAAAAATTATGTTGCAGAAGATAGCCAAAACCTTCCATTCACTTCCCACTTATCACATCCATCTTCCATCCTTGCAATGTGAATTCTTTCCTAGAAGCATTGATGTGCTGCTGAATCATGAATTTAGACTCATTGCAACAGCAATTTGATACAACATTAAAGATAATCACTTGCAAAGAAAAAAAAAACCCCACAGGCATAAATGATTGCCATTTGCAGTTTTTAGGAGAAGATAAAGTACCATTGCATTATCCTCAAAATATCCCACTGTAATATTTACTACTGAAAATGTTCTTAGTTTGTGAATAGTTAGGAGGCTGGGATATTTTTTCCCTTGAATCTTTCTTTTTATTTTTCCCACTTTTACTCTCCTCCCTGCTACAAAAAATATCATGCATATCCTTATTTTTCCAGCTTTAAAAAGGTTTATTTATTTATTTATTCATTACATCTATATAAACCATCAACATTTGCACTATAAGAATTATCTGTGATTCCTTATGCAGTTGTAATTTCTGCATGAATTTAATACAATTCCACAGTAACAATTGTGTTCAGTTATGCTGCTGTTGGCTTACACCATTTCCATCCCTCTCCTTTTACCTCCAGAATTTTATTTCCCTTCCAATTTGATCCTTATGGTGGACTTATAAAGTGAGATATATACAGGTAGTAGTCCTCAACTGAGCACAGAATTTATGCTACTAAGTGAGAAACTTGTTACGTGAGTTTTGTCCCATTTTACAACTTTTCTTGCCAGACTTGTTAAGTGAATCACTGCAGATGTTAAAATTAGTAACACAGTTGTTAAATAAATCTGGATTCTCAACTGATTGCTTGTCAGAAAGCAGTCGCAAAAGATGATCACATGAACCCGGGACACCCCAGATGCCAATCATGCAAATGTAAATCACATGACCATGGGGATGCTGCAGTGGTCATAAGTGTGAAAAATTGTCATAAGTCACTTTTTTCAGTGCTGTTATAACTTCAAATGGTCACTAAATGATCTGTTGTAAATCGAGGACTATCAGTACTGAGATATAAGAGGGCTTTCAAGACTGGATGAGGTCCTTAATCAAATTGTGTCCCAGGCTCACCACACCATGATGTTGGCTATGTATTATAGACTATGTAGCTGTCAAAGCCAAGATCCTACTTATGGAATAAAATCAACTGTTCTTAAGTTTATTTTTCACAGGTAGAATCTGACACAAGCAATCACATTTTCAATGGAAGGGAATGAAGGAGCCAGCAATGAAAAAGTGCTTTGATTTTACTGCATTTTTTTTTCTTTTTTATATCTTGTCCCATATTTGATGCTTTCATTTCTTTCAGTTCTTTGCACAAGTAGGATAACCTGAATGCCTTAAATCTAATATTCTAAAGCGTGTAGTCATCATGCTTGAATTAGCTGGGTAATTCCGACATAAGGTTTAGATATTGCATTCCTTCCTTCTGTCATAAACATTTTATTTCTGTGCCTCATGTACTGTGAAAAAGCAGCATTAACTTTCTTTAGGAGCTAAGATGAAGGAAAAAGTTATTTTAATACTCTCTCATTCTTTCATTCTAACACACACACACACACACACACACACACACACACACACACACACACAAAACCCCCAGACATAATTATCTTGCCATTTTGAGAAACCTTAAATATAAATCAAAATCACATATTTCTTCTTTCTCGGTCACAGAAACATACATAACCTAGTTTTGGTGATTAACAAGCATCAAATGCTTTTAATTATACAATTACCCATTTATCTAAATATGGAATAACCGATCATCAAACCAAGCAGTTCAAAGGAGCTATTTAGACTATCAAGCTCAACCCTCTGTTTGTTGTACAAATCGAAATTAAAGCATTCCTTACAATGGGCTTCTATATCAAGCCTCTGCTTGATCACTTCTAGAGAAGTGGAATATACTTCTGAAAGTAATGGATTCCGCTTCCATTCCAGTTATTTTTATTGCTGAGAAGTAGTTCAGCTTGTTTGCTTCGCACACTTTAAGCATTATGTAAACAACAAAAAACAGGAACGTTATAAACTATTTTTTTCCTGATTTTTCATTGGTTTAATAGGCCCCATTACAATCGGTAGCTCACTTTTTCTGCGGTAGACATGTTCTAATCTGAAGTCCTCACACATAATGGATTAACCCAGTGGTGAAATCCAAATTTTTTTACTGCTGGTTCTGTGGGCATGACTTGCTGGGCATGGTGTGGCTTGATGGGAGTGGTTTGGTGGGCATGGCAGGGGAAGGATACTGCAAAACCTCCATTCCCACCTCACTCCAGTGGCCAGCCAGAAGTGGTATTTGCCGGTTCTCCAAATTATACAAAATTTCTGCTACCGATTCTCCAAACTGCTCAAAATTTCCGCTACTGGTTCTCCAGAACCTGTCAGAACCTGCTGGATTTCACCCATGGATTATCCCAATGATTTATTTATTTAATAAGATATTTTTTAAAATTCTTAAGAAATTAATTCAATAAATAAAATCTAACATTCAGAAAATGAAATTTAAAAAATTAAAACCCGAACTTTAATTCCAGAACAAATTGTAGAAATATTTTCAGCCTTTAAAAAAAAATAAATTGGCAAGGATTTGTTTTTTTCCAGCATAAAGTGAAAGTGGATTTATTTCACTTATGTTAAAAATTTGAAAAGGGTTAGCAGGACATCTTTTTTCTCATAGAATATAAAACTAAATCATAGTTCTCTTAAACTGCACTGTGCAGTCAAAGAAGAAGTGCCATTTACTATTCGTTTTAGCAACACTTATTGTTCATCAAATAAAATAAAGGAGGAAAATAATGGAAAGAGATTGAGACAGCAAAAACAAAAAGAGGGAAATAGATGATGATTTTTGAAAACCTGGTATGAAAAACTCATATATTATACTTAACATTAGGATTATTGACTTTATTACAGCCTCTCAAATTGTAAGCAAAAGAAAGAGAAAGATAAATGAATAAGTAGCTTTTAATCTTTGTGTAAATATGACAATTTATTAACCTTGAGGACTCTTATTACAGAACAAAACATGTTTCCATAGTGTTTCCAATTACTTAGAAATCCAATTTGGCAATGTTACTTTACTGGCATCAGATTCCAAGTCGCTTTACCAAGCACATGAATTCTTGTCTCAAAGGTGCTTTTTCAAAAGGCAACTGGACTGATCCCCCCGAGGAAGAAGACGTTTCGCTTCCCACAATTGGGCTCAATTGTGGTCGTGACTTACCTCTACAGCATCCTGGGCAAGACCTAGAAGGCATGGAAGTCTGAAGATTAAAGTGCAATTTAAATTGTATGTCACAGTTAATTGTTTGTGCCTAACTTTTGAAATATAAAAATAAGGAAGAGTCAGTATGAGTTTAAAGTATTGTTCAGGACAACTGCAAGATTCAGAAAAGTTTGATCCAATTCCAGAGAAGGTGTTAGAAAACGTATCTGTTCCACCCATAGTAAACTCTTGCATTGATTGCCCATAGCATCTTTTTCTCCTTATATCCTGTAACTCAGAAGTTCCTAAACTCTTCTGTTCATTGACCTCTTCATTAAGTTTCAGATTGCTCCTCATCCCCCAAATATTTATTATATGAAAATAATTTAATAAACACTAATTTAATTAACAGTTCTACAAATAGCAATGTTAACAACAAAACCAATAGATAGTCCCATTGATCTTTAGGGGGTCAATACCAAGCCCTTTGGAGAAGCCTGGGGCAATTCTAGATTTCAGAAGGACCTGCCTGTGGAATAAAATTTGGGGTGTCCTATGTTCTCTAGCAAATACAGGTGTTACAAAACCATGTTCTATTTTAGATTGATAGTTATTGCACAAAAATATCCGATGCCCTGGAATGAAAACCCAAATCCTTTTCTTTTAAAAGCAGGGTTTGAATTTGCTTGCCGCTCCTTCCCCCTGACTCCCCTTAATTGGAAGTTTCAGCATTCATTAAGATCAGTTGTGAAAAGATCAGTTTGTAGTCAGTCTTTAATTGGCTGGTAAAGTGAATGGCACATAGCTCTCTCATTGGAACTGATGGACCAACTCTTCTCGGGTGATAACAGAGGAATGATGGTAACGATCTCGGGAAGCAAAATCTGTATTCTCTTCAGTGAGTTGAGTGGTCTCCATGCCAACTGTTGCAAAGGTCGGTGTCACAACAAATCGCTCCTCTGGGGATGGCCTTCCCCTACAAAACAAAAGAACACAAAAACCTTCAGATGCCCCATTGTTTCCCAATACATCTGCAGCTGCACTCTGAACTATGTAAATAAAACAAAAAAAGAAGAATGCATTCCATGAAGCGCCCCAAAACTTCACTCCAGAAAGGAATGCCAGCTTTTTCCTTATGGCTCTCGCCTTTGGCTGGAATTCTTTCTTATGTAACAGCAATTCTAAAAACATGCAAGTCAAAAACTTTTTCTTTTGCACACATATTTGCTTCTTCTCATTTATTGCCAAGTGCTTTAGCTGCTCTGATCCATGCAATTAGAAGATGGAGGTTTGTTCCTGTTACAATGTGCGCTTTATGGCAAAGGACCAACCTCTTAACATGATGCCTGCCGCTTCCAAACATTCCTTGTTAGCAGGCAACTGTCCTGAGAAAAAAGTGAGAGGGGGGAAATGCTCAGAAAACTTATTGTGTACAATTCCCACAATGACCTCCATCTAATACAAATCCTCTTTTGAATAGAAATGGTGAATTTACATGTTTAGACTTTCATATTTCTCTTTAATTTCAAAGTCTATATTGTTTTTAATTTGACTTCTTCGCTCCTTAATAGTTTGATCTTTTGTTTAACTTCTTTTCTATTCTGTTAGAATACTTAAGTGTTTTGTTAATTCCCTATTAAACTAAACATTTTTTGGGAAAAAAACTTAGCATAATGTTTAGTTACATTCACACATGTCTGACAGTAAAACGGCACTTATTATATATCACTCGCTAGAGTGCAAAAAAAGCTGTAATTAGCCATGAAGGTCTACTTCAAAAGTTTAAAATGACATTCATTTACAAGAGGTCCTTAGACAATTTGTTTTAATAATATTGAACAAACACAGCTTCTGGAAAGCTTCTTTCACTTGTCACATTCCCCAAGTAGTGTCATAGCAAGATAGATGTAGCAAGATAGTAATGTATTCCTGGGTGTTCCCAGATCACCAGCCATGGTCACCCATGTTTCAGTCTTGAGTGAACAAAGCACTCCAGCTAAAGACTCAATGGGATGTCTGAAAACTAACTGTGGACACCAAATTAACCAGGATCTTTTTTACATTTTGCTTTGAGTTAACATTCAGTGGTAAGGTGCTTCCATTTTGTTTTGTTTTTTAATGGAAATTTGTACACAAATGTTATAAGTAAATAAATAAATAAATATACTCTGATCTAATGCAAGCACATATGGGCGAACTTGGGGATGGGTAAGGTAGGCTAAGTTGTTTGTCATCAATGTCCTGGGTTCATATTCCAGCAATGATTGTCCAGGAAACATTTTCAGCTGCTCTATAGCTAAGAACTATATTTTTATAACCACAATACAGGGGCTGGGTAATGAGTACCCAGATTGTTGGGGGCAATATGCTGACTCTGCTTAGAGAGGGCTGTAAAGCACTAAGAAGCAGTATATAAGTCTAAATTCTATTGCTATTATAATTTGGATGCTTACCTCCCACATAGATACAGATTCTGAAAGGGGAGATATCTAGATTTTTATTTACAGTATGTATTGGTTCAACTCCTTGTGACTCTTGGGTAATTAAGAAACTTCTTATTCATTCTTTGTAAACAATTATTGATTATAAATGCCTTAAAATATAGTTTCAGAACTAACATAAAAACACAAAATTACGATGATTAGAGGCACTAAAGAATAACACTTTTAACATGTGAGGAGATAAGTGAATTGGCAGATGACTCCAAAATGTTTTTAATATCTCTATAAAGCTACTAGAAGAAATAATACAAAGCTCTGAGCCAAACTGTTATCCATATGCAGATGATCTCTCTGTCCTTTTATATTTACTTGCCTTGGGAAACCACACAACTTTCCTGTGATATAAAGGTTGTGCTGCATGAGAAGAAATAATGATGGAACTTTGTAACTGCTCAGAGTTGGCTTACATTGACCTACAAAATAAGTAATGCAATTTAAGAGTTCTTCTGAATTCTAGGTTAATGGAGGGCTCTCAAGGGGTACCAGAAGTTTAGAGTGCCTTTTAACCTTGGTTCAGTTATCCTCTATTTCTATCATCCAGACCAGACTATTCCAGTGTGGTATTGTCTTTAAAGATGATTTGGAACTTCAACAGATATGGCAGTCGGTTTATTTGGTAGGATCACAGCAATCAGAACATGGGCACCTCTGTTGCACTACTGGTAGTCCTCAACATACATTCCATTCCATTTATTGACCTTTCAAAGTTAGAACAGCACTGAAAAAAAGTGTGATTGTTTTTCACACTTACAACCGCTGTAGCATCTCCATGGTCACGTGATAAAAATTTAGATGCTTGGCCACTGGCCTGTATTTATGACAATTGCACTGTCCCGGGGTGATATAATCACCTTTTGTGGCCTTCTGACAAGCAAAGTCACTGGAGAAGCCAGATTGACTTAACAACTGTGTTACCAGTTTAACAACTGCAGTGATTCACTTAACAACGGTGGCAAGGAAGTTTTAAAATGGGCAAAATTCACTTAACAACTGACTTGCTTAGCTATGGAAATTTTTGGGCTCAATTGCGATCATAAGTCGAGGACTACCTGTAACGAGTACTGTCTTGCACTAGACTTCTCATCTCAATATAATGTTCAGCCCTTTAAACCGGGAGCCAGAAGTAATTGGATTTTTTTTTAAGTTTACAAAATTTACAAAATTCACAGAGAAAACAAATGGAGATATGGAGATTCTCAATAGGAGCAAGCAAGGTGCTTCAGATAGATCTTAGCATGTATTTAGTTAGTTCAGAAATGGCTTTCACTGTTAAATAAGGGCAGTAAGGCTTCACTTAATAGGTCCAGAAAGCAAGAGAAAAAGTCACAGTGCTGAACTTCAGTGATATGGTCCAGGGACAGTCAAGGGGCTGTCGGTTTCCTACCCCTGCCTAAATCTCATATGGCTGAGCTGTTGAGAAGACAGCTTTTGCTAATATTACTTCATTTCTCTTTTGACATTAACTGAAGCTGAAGCTCTTCTCCAATGGCAGACTGACTCTGAAGGCACTGCAAAGTGGCTCATGAAGGGATGACCTATGTTGGTTGCTGCTGACATAACACCCAAGAGTTGAAGGCATTTTGAAGAAGCCTTATGATTTTTTTTTTCTAATCCTTTTAAAGAATTTTTAGAGCTAGGAACAGTTAATATTCAGTGTTCAATATTTTAGTAGTGCTTAGTAATAGGGTTTTGTACCATATTCAATCACACATTTAACTTTGGCTTCTTATTTAGTAATGTTCCAAAATTTTTGTACTTCAAACTTATTATTTCCTAATTGAAAGTGAGTAGGGTAATGCACTAAATGGGCTATTTTTTACACAAGGGTTTTAAACTACAGGGACTTTATTTTTCATTACAAAATCATTTGTGGCTATTTAAAATCATGATGATCAGTGACCGATCCTAAATTCCATTAAACTCAACATCAATTGTTTCTCAGTTTTTTCTTAGTCACCAAGACCAACCTGCAGACATTAAGTAAAAGGAGTTTAATCCACTTGAAAAGGCTGAAATTAGCTGCCACACCTGTAGGAACAAGAAACAAATGCAGATGGTTACAACTGGGCAAAATGTTAAAAGAATGGTGCTAGGCAAAACATGTTAACACAAGGGAAGTGTCTCTCTTCAAAGTATTAAAGCAGCTGTATATTTTGGAGGGGAAGAGTTATAAAAGCTAAGAGTCCTTCTTTAAGCCTTAACAATTAAAGTTAGTTTGAGCAAGTTTAAACATGTAACCATAATAGAAATGTAGTTCTCCAATGTTCTTCTTAAACTAAATTTAATTAAGCAATACAGGCTCTAAATATTACCTATATTAGGAGACTTTCTAACTTTTTCTCCATGATGCAATGCTGTATTTCTAAAGTTGAGAAAAGCTTAACCTTTATTTTGAATTGCAATGTTGAACAGCTGGAATAAATGTTTAATATAATTCATTATACCTGCATTGAGAGCAGCAAAAAATAAATTAGTTGTTCCCAAATATTTTTTAAAAGCCTTTAAAGATTCTGCCATCAAATATTGTTTGCAAAGTGGCTGATGCTGAAGAATGGAAGCATTGTCAACACTTCTGTTCACACCACTGCGCTTGTAATTCTAGGACAAAATTAAGACTGATAGCTTTAGTTCGGTGATTCTTCAGGACTGGTGTCAGTTTTTATAAAAGATAGCCACTGAGGTTATAACTGGAAAAGTGAAAAAGATTCACAATCTTTTCAGGTCAAATATGATTGTCCAAATTGTTGTTATTATATTTTGAATTCATGGTACTTTTTCTAATCTTCAGTGCAGTAATTAATTTCCAGTAATATAAAAATATTTTAGAAATTCTCTTTACTTTCTATCTCAGGTTTTAACAACCACCTCATTTTTAAAAATAGATTAGTGTCCTAAAACCAAGTTTACAATTAAGAGTAGGCAACTTCATTTTCACCTGCTCAAACTTTATTCCACATTCATTGAGTATTGTAGGCTTAATTTTTACCATCTTCAACAATTCAGAATAAAACAAATTTATAAGTGGAAGTAAAGACTTTAAAGCACTTAAATTTATCAAGCAAGTGAGAAGGTCAAAGAACATAAGGCAGACCCAGAAGAAGATAGAGAGGCAAGAGCCATAACATTGTACTCCCTTAGGAAGAAGATGAAGGGGTGGGGGGAGAGAAAATATATTTACCAGGTGGTAGTCCTGGACTCGCTTTGCCAATGTAGAAATACAAAATAATTGCTAGTCCCAAATTAACGAGAGTATAAATCCACTGAATAACGAACATAATGACTAATGAAACTATTGCCTGTAGGAAAGATGATATTTAGGATTAAACTGTGATAAATTAAATTTTGTTGTTTTTGTTATTAGAATGATAGTTTCCGTGGGAAAAAAGGTAAGAACTTTACATTCAAAGGCAGATAAGATGTCTTAGCATCTTCTACTTCTTACCACATTATTGGCCAGGTTTTAAAGAATTTTTGGTGCAAGTAAACTAATTTAAAAATTATTTAAGTGATTGAGTGAGTAAGCCTTGGGGACGTGAAATCTTTTAACATTAGAGGCTATATACCTTTCAGAACCAATTCCTGTGAATTTGAACTTGTTATTAGACTGTTTGAAAATCTAGAGTTGAGCCATATAGGAAAGGCAGTTTCAGCTCTCAAATTTAATCTGTTTTATTTAGTGGACAGGAATGTAAAAATATGAAGCCAACGATGTTGCAACAGATTAAGGGTGCATTTAATCCATCTGATTCCAGAACTGACCAGCAGATCAGTGGTGACATCCAATTTTTTTTACTACCGGTTCTGTGGGTATGGCTTGGTGGGCGTGGTGTGGCTTGTTGGGCATGGCTTGGTGGGCATGGCAGGGGAAGGATATTGCAAAATCTCCATTCCCACCCCACTCCAGGGGAAGGATACTGCAAAATCTCTATTCCCACTCCACTCTAGGGGAAGGATACTGCAAAATCCCCATTCCCTCCCCACTCCTGGGGGAAGGATATTGTAAAATCTCCATTCCCACCCCATTCTGGGGCCAGCCAGAGGAGGTATTTGCCGGTTTTCCAAACTACTCAAAATTTCCACTACTGGTTCTCCAAACTGCTCAAAATTTCCACTACCGGTTCTCCAGAATCTGTCAGAACCTGCTGGATTTCACCCCTGCAGCAGATGCTTCTGGGAAACTTATTCAGCCAGTTATGAAGATATTAGCTGCCACACCGAGCAATTGGTATTTAGATGCAGAATGTCTCTAGCTGAAATGTCCAGGTAGTTATTAAAAGTTAAATGCAATTGTACAGTAATCATTTTAAGTCTTAGCATTTTAAATGATGTTAAGATATCTCAGGATTGTCTTTGAATTCCCAAGAGCTGCAAAGTCCTATTCTATGTATAATGATTTGAAGTCTACTATGGGATGAATAGTAATATTTATAACTTCTTGCCTACTGTGTTACAAAGAGGATTGAAAATTAGAAGGTGACTCACACCAAAAAAGGAAATCCGATGATCACAAAGCTTGGAATAGAAAGAAACTGGTATTTTCTGAATTTCTAATTCTTGGCTTTGTTGCTTTAGATTTAAATCTGCAGAACAGGAGAGAAAAGAAAACTTTCAAAAAAAATTGTAAGATGGATACACTCAAAAGCATCATTTGTATACTTCTAAAACAAATAAAATCCACTAGGGACTGGACAGTTTACATGAATCAACAACAAAAAAAATCCATTCTACTTGAAATTGGGCATAATTTTACCTTCAATTCCCCTTTCAGAAATTTAGAGTTGAAGAACTAAAACTCCTTGTTCCAACTCACCCAACTCTCTTATCTCTTTCAGAAAATCCTGCAGATTTGACTTTCTCCTTTTCTAATCAGAAAAATCTATGTCACGTATTCTGCTTTAAAAGAAACAGGTTTCATGAAGATTTAGGCAAGTGGTTCTGCAGAGTAGTTCTATAGCTGGAAGCAAACATTTAGGCATTCCTGGTCAAATTGTATGTTCCTCAGTAAACACAGACAGATATAATATTCCACAATATGAAATTAAAATGACATCTTTCTGCATATTGAGATGCATATCACTTTGCAATCCTCCCTTTGGAAATATTTCCAAATGTTTCCTGTAGTCAGCTATGAGTCTCTCAGTTCTTCCTTTTAGAATTTATTTCCACTCTTCCTTGCAGAACTCTTCTAGCTCGATGTTTTGATTAGGAGATATTTCACTTAACATAATTACTGGGTGAAATTCTGCATTCTGCAAGCAAACTTCTGCCAATGCAGTAGTTCATCTCTTTCTATCCCCCTTGATAATCAGCTTCAGACAGGGAAGGAAATTTGGAGCATATTTTGAAGGAATATAGGGGACTTCTACTAGCTCTACTAATAAAAAGCAATTCTAGCAATGGAAATACCCTAACTGGATTTCACTCAGAGAATGCTGCATGCCTCGGATTCTTTTTATACAATTCTATGCATGTTTCAGATATATAAAAATATATATACCCAGCTATGCAATATAATAAATTCCATTTTTAACTCAGAATTGTTTGGTGTCGAATACTACAGCCATTTGTTCTTACACATTTTGAATTAATGTTCCGAGTCTTAACATTTGGGATGTATTGCCACCCATGTAAAGATAAAAATAAATGCATCTCACATTGCCGTATGGATGAGAGATACATATGTACAGCACTGGAAAAGAGACAGTAAGCAATAAATTATCTCGTAGTGAATTAACTCTGGGCCACTTTTCCATTGGCAAATTAAATTAAAACAGTCTCTGTGCTCAGTTGTAAAAAAAAAAAAACAACCCACAGTTTGTCACAAGGGATAACAGCCTGAACACATATAAATGATCACTTCCCTTACTTAGAAAAGCAAATGAGCATTCTTCATTTTCAAATACACAATAATTTAATGCGCTCCAAATCTTCTTACCCTCCATCTGTGGACTGGAGGCTTTTCGCATTTCATCCAAATGTTGGTCTCCATCTTCTTCCTTCTGATTGTTTTTTCTGATAACAGATGGAGATGCATCATTTCCATCCCCGTCTTGGCAATTTGGCTGTGAAAAATGCTGCACATTTTTGACACTGGATCTTCGGGAATCATTGCAAGGCTCCTGAATATGAGCAATGTTGTTCTCAAGAGCCAAACAAAAGCTGTCTTCTAATGTTTGCTTGGCTGCCTTCTTTTGCTTTCTCTGCTTGATCACTTGAGCGGCATCCACATTATTTTCTTTTAGTTCAAGATCAGTCCCTGGATCTTGACTGACAGGCTTAAAAAGATGGTTCATATCTTTTGTGAATTCCAGCAAAGTTCCATCTGACCTGCACTGATCTCTTCCATTTGATCCATAACAAGTTGATTTGCTGAGCATTAAAGGTCGAGAGCAACTTAGCACAGCCCTGGCATCCTCTTGCCGCATCCTTTTGGAGTTCTGCTTAAGATTGTAGCACATGGAGACTGAGAAATAGGAATAATCCACAGCAATATATGTAAGCATGAAGTTGATCGTAACTATTGGAGCAAGAACATTCACTTGGCCAATGAAAACGAAAGCCAAGGTAATGAGGCTTGTTAAGCAGATTGCAGCCACTGGAGTTTTGTTTGGTCCTTTCTGCATTAAGAACAAAGGGTTAATCACATAGGCAAAATAATCTGTCAAATATTTTTGGATAATGTTTAAATCATGTATAAATCTGCTTGACTGGGACATCCTCAGATGAATCCTCATCTAAGGAAGAACAACAAAATAAGTTTGCTGATTGACATCCTGAAGACCCATGTACCAAACAGAACAAACAGCCGCAGTGACTGTCGCTACCTTTGACTCTTTGGATCCAGATTACAACATTTATGACATTCCTGAATAGCCTGCAGTTTGTTTCAGGATAATTAGTACTGTTGGTCTTATAAGAAAATTAAGAGCTCCCTGTACAAAAGTCTTTGCAGATTTTTGAACAACATCAACAACAACCACCTCATCTTGTATCCACTGAGCAGTGGTGAAATCCAATTTTTTTTACGACCAGTTCTGTGGGCGTGGCTTGGTGGGCGTGGCTTGGTGGGCATGGTGTGGCTTGGTGGGCGTAGCAGGGGAAGGATGCTGCAAAATCTCCATTCCCACTCCACTCCAGGGGAAGGACATTACAAAATCTCCATTCCCACCCCACTCTGGGGCCAGCCAGAGGTGGTATTTGCCAGTTCTCCGAACTACTCAAAATGTCTGCTATCAGTTCTCCAGAACCTGCTGGATTTCACCCCTGCCACTGAGCCATGAACGTAAATTTGGTAACAATTTTCTGCGCAAGTGACCTTTACGATTGCTTTGATCATAACTTTTTACTCTATCCTTTGAACTTCCTATTTTTACTTCATCAGAATATAATGAATTCTGAGTTGTTTCTTGAACATTTCTGCTGTGCCAAATCAATGGTGAATAATTTAATAATTCAACCTTATTTGAATATTTATTCATATTTGTTTGTTCATCCATCCATTCAATTCCTGTAGCCGCCCATCTCAGTCAGTGACTCAAAATTAATAGTCTGAAGTTTATTGGGCATCTGAAATAGGGCAGGATTGTTAGAAAACTTAGTGTGAAAAGGAGATGAGAGAGGGGTGCTTGCAAGTCTAAGGGTCATTATTATATCTACTCTACTTCTGTTAATGGGAAACCATAGTTGCCATTTGCAACATGAACTAAACTGAGTCACATTAAAAATGTTTTTATGTAAGATATTACTAATGTTTATTGATATCATACACTTTAAACAATGTCTTTAACTTATATTTGAAGACCAGAAGTTCTGAAGAGAAGACTGACTCTACAAAGCAATGACGTTCAGTAAAAGACCCTGGGAAAATATTACACAAAGAGGACAGTGTATGGCATTACAGTAGCTTGTTTGTTTTAAAAATTAAACAGAGATATGTTGAGTGGTATTAGCAGTGTGGAATGAAAGTCCATTCTAAATAAACTTCATGATTTGGAAGTGTTTTTCAATATAATATCACAGCCTTTCTTATTCAGAACGACCAAAGGCCTAAATAATGCTTATCAGACAGCTGCCTAGGGAAATCTATCATGGATGACAGAATATCTATACACGGAAAATAAACAGAAAATGCCTTCCTTGTTTACTAACCCCATGTCCAAGAAATGCAAGAAGAGGTATCACTTTCTCTTGAGCAATGCATTGAAGGATTCGGGGTGCTCCATAGAGACCTCCCATGCAAGATGCTAAGGATGAAATGTACAAACCAAGTAAGAATAAGAAGCCCACCAAGGATACCTAAGAAAAAGAAAGAGAGAGAGAGCAAAACATTTTTTTCTTGATTAATATTTGGAAGGCACATCTGATAAAAATCACTGTGAATTAATGGACTATTGATATAATACAATGATTAAGAACATGAATCAGATAATCTGGTGCCCAAATCTCATCAGCCATTAGTATATCAAATTGAACCATCAGTCCATCTAATTCAGTGATGGCTAACCTTTTCCGGACCGAGTGCCCAAAGCACATGCGCGCCCCCAAATGCCCAAAATGCAATGCATGTGCCCCCCCTGTGCATGCGCCCTGCCCCCACACGTGGCCCCATGCATGTGCCCCACAACGCATGTGTCCCATCCCCTGCACATGTGCCCCCATGCATGTGCCCCACCCCCATACATGTGCACGGCCCTGCACATGCACCCCACCCCACACATGTAGCCCTCTGCACCCCGCGAAAGCGTGGCAGAGACCCAAAGATCAGCTGTCCAGCAGGTGGCACACGCACATGCGCAGGGGAGCTGAACTGGGGCGACAGCTCATGTGCCATCAGAGAAAGCGCTGTGTGCCACCTCTGCCATGCATGCCATAGGTTCGCCATCACGGATCTAGTTTAATACAGTATTGTCTACATTGATGATTGGTTGATTTCCTAGAGTTTTAGTCTGAATGCGTTCCCAGCCCTATCTGGAGATGAGTATTAAACTTGAGATAGTCTGAACAGGAAGCAAACCCCATACTCACTAGCATTGATGATGTTACCTAATTGGGTAATGAAACATCTGTAAGCAAACAACTGGGCTCAGACAACTTCAAGGACTCCACAGTTCAGCCTTGAGCTACATACATTATCTTCTATAGTCCAAATGCACAAACACCTTTCTTTAGCAGATTTCTCTCACTCTCATTTCCCATCAGAAATAGGGGAGTGACAGCATGTTTTACAATGCTGGCACAAAGATTGTTCTGATAATGCATGTACAAAACTTGAAGAACTGTGTTTTAAAAATGTCCTAATCAGCCACAAAACAGTGAGAAGCACTTTGCTGCAAGAAAAGATTGATATTCTGTCCCTAATTAACAGCACAAAAGAATATACTTTAATTTGCTTTGCCCAGAGTAAAGCAATCCAATGGGAAAAGCTTAATTTAGCAGCAATTTCAGAAGAAGCATGTACATCTTACAGAAAATGAAGGGAGTAACAGATATTTTATACATACTAGAACAGAGTTGTAGTCCAGGAGAATGTATTTATGTAATTTCACATAGACTAAATTCAGATGATATACTTTAATTAAATAACATGTTTTTTTTTCTATGACATGTTTCAAATGAGATCTTCCAGCAAATAATTTTGGACAGCAATCTAAAGAGGCAGTTATTTCGGGATCAGTGGGGTATGCAAATTGAATAATGGATTTTTGCCTTTACTTTCCTAATTAAAATCTACAAGATTTTACAGTCCTATACTTTTAGCTGGTTGTAAGTCATATTGAGTTCATTGGGTGTTAATGCTAAGTAAGTGCACAAGTTTGAAGTATTATCAAGATATTGTTTCCAACACTTGGAACCTTTGATTATAATCTCTCTAGGTAATTTGTGCATGTTAACAAATAAAGCCTAGTACGCTATTTCCTCTTTCTCCTCCTATTCTCTTTTATCAGATCAAAACTGAAGGCTTCACCTTGGCATCCTATTCTGCATGATTAATTTTTCCTCCTAGACCGTAAAGCCACAAATCCTGATCCAAAGGAAAGTAGGTTATATGGAATAATGTTAGTTCAAAATAGCTAACTCCAATCATATTTGCCCTATTTTCCAGGGATGATAAATTTGCCTTCAGTCTCTAGCTACAAATTTGTACTGCAAATAATTACAACAACCATAGTTAGGAATGCCAAACATTAACTGAAAATTGTGGGATATATTATAACACATCCTCTGAAGTTTTACTCAGAAGTAATTATCATTGTGCTCTAAAGGACTTTAGTTGGAAAGTATTATAGCTAAATTTTGTTTCTGGTTAGGACAGCATTCTGCAGCACAAGGAAGTAGTACTGGAACTCATTTAAGAGGTCAGGATTCATCAAGTCCCAGCAAACCAAGCCAACTTTTTTTTTTAAATAAAAAGTGTGTTACTAACTCATACAAAGTGTTACTAACTCATACAAAGTACAGAGAAGACGTGGCAATTGGTAGGGAATATATGGAAAATAGTCAAATAAAATTTGAAAATGGCATTGTCGGGTAATAATAGTACTTTTTCGGTGCACTCAAAAATACTATGACTAGATCATGCTTTGTACATAATTAAAATGGCCTTATTCAAAGTGTCATGACAGTCCACTCACACTTTCTGGGGAAAATGGCTTTTGCATCAAGATAGTCAAAAGTATATTTGCAGGTGCAACTCCTAACATATAGTGCTGACAAATTCTTCATTGTTGCAGCTTAATCACTTCATATGTTCCTTTTTTCTCTCTGGATCAGGCTGAAGGTAAACCCTGAAACTGAGTTGGTGTGGGTACTTATGTTGCCACTAGAGTTTTTCCCTGACCTATAAGTCCATCAAGGGATAGGTTCATGAAGAGGAGGGGTCCTTCTAGATTCATGGCTCCTGCTGGAACAGCAGGTAAAAACTTGGCCGGAGGACCCTATCACCAGCTCTTCTTGGTGCATCGGTTACAACCTACCTGGGACTCTATAGTAATTATTTTATCACTATCTGGTTGGACTACTGTACTATAATAAACTCTTCTTGGCTCTATCATTAAAGACAATTAGAAAACTACAGTTGGTCCAAAATGCAGCAAGCCACAAACTCCTGGCTATCACTGTTGGTAGCAAATAGCACTGCTTTTCTGCGTTGGCTGCCAATTGGTTTTTCAAGTACAATTTAAAAAGCTAGTTTGGTTTGTTTTTCTCCCTACAGTATTGCTATCAGTACTTTCCTTGACCAATTTGATCAAGTAAATGGAAGCTACTACTGATCCCATATTTTGGAGATATCTAGAGAGCTAAAACAGGAGGTGCTGGTTTTCTATTCTGTAAAACAGTTTCCTCATTAAGATCAGACTTGCTTCCCCTTGATAATATTTCAGAAAATTTTAAAAACCAAATTATTATGGACAGCCTTCTCCTGGTTTTGTTAAGCTATTTATATTCTCTTTTTTATGGTCTGTAAATTTTTTGGAGGGGTGGGGGGGTTGTTTCACTATTTATGATTGTATTGATTTTTATCTGATTTTATACTGCTTGTAAGTCGCCAATTATAGTGGGGTAGAAATGGGATTAATAAAGAAATATAAATAAATAAATATCCAAATTGCATTTGAAAATAAAACTCTCCCTAAAAATAATGACATACATATCCTATCAATGTGTAGAAATTGAAATTCTCCTATGCATGGTGAAATCTAATTCTGCCGGAAGCAAATTGTAGTTTAATCCTCTTGTCACATTACAGCAGTTTCTTCTGTACAAAATGGAAATAAAACTCCTGTTTCTCATTTTGTTTCATGATGCATAAAGATAGATGCAAGAATTCCATTGAAAAGAAATTGTTAAACATTTGCTTTCCCCAAATGTAGACCAACCTTCCATGTTGTCTGTATTCCTTCTGTTTATTTATTTAAAGTAACATCTATGCATATGTCTTATTATATTGGTTAAATACACATTCTGACAACAAGATTAGCTAACACACAGTATAATAGGTGCTGATTTGTCAACTGGGGCAGAGAACATAGTATTTCCATATAAAGCAAGAGAAATCCATCAAGAGAAGCTTCTGCCTATAAACTGAATGCAGGACTACCTAAACACACAATGTGATGTATTTCCTGGTTAGGTATGCAATTTATTGAGTCAGTCATTCTTTGTCATCTTAATTTATTTTACAGAGTTCTTAAGACAAAAATGAAACAACTCCACTCTTGTTGTTCTGAAATACTGGCAAGAAAGGCAGCATTGCAACTCATGGCAATAGTTGAGGAGATGAATCTTCGAGTCAAAAGATTTTAAAATGCCTATCAGCCACAGGCAGATACCTGGAGCACAATCTGATATTCTCAAATGTATATTTGACAGTTTGGTAGGCTGTTATAAAGCCCGTGGACCACAGATTAATAACCTATGGTTTGAAATTAATTTTGTTATTGTCTGTATGAGAAAGAATGTTTCATATCAAGCAACCTGTCCCTCTGTGTTCCAGCTTAATGTCATAAAATCTGATTTAAGTGAAAAATAAGGTGCAAGGCTCAGTTGTTACAGTGGTAAGAAAATAAAAAGGCATTATATTATGCCTCATGTCATATACACATATGCCTATTAAGACAACCAAAAATACCTACCGTAAGTTTTTAAAAAGAAAAAGTAAAGAAATTTCATTTTGGGAAAGAACAAAGGTTCATTCTTAGGTGGTAAGAATAATATCTTTCCCATTGTATTATTCTGAGGAAGAGTTTTCAGTTAGAGTCTACTCTGGGTTACCTTACAAAACATAGCAATGTGTAGCTAACGGAGCAAAGTGGAAAAAGTGAGGCTGATAAAATGGTAGGAAGTAAGAGAAGATTATCACTGAATACCACAGTATCACAAAGCAGAAAATGCCCTAGAATGCACACAAGGCTGTCACTCAAGGTGCTTGCCAGCTATGTTGAACATGTGGTGGCAGAAATTAGTTTGGAGCATCTCTCCAAGTAATAAAGGCTTTTAAAGTACTTCCCACCTACCCAGTGGACTTTATAACAAGTCTTTTTGTTTAGCAGGCCTTGCTTTGGCAACCAAGGTCTTTTAGTTTCTGACTCTAAGTTTAGATAAAACACCAGAGAATTTCTGGAAGCTTGGCATTCTAACAAAACGGCCATCAGCAGACATATAGAGATAACCCCTATCTACATACTTTTCTAAAAGATAATGTCAAGAAAGGAAACAAACATCCTCTCTAGCAACCAAGTCAGATATGCAGGAAGGAACACTAGCTAAACAATCAGAGAAAAAGTAACACCCTAATCAAGATATTACCAAGAAAGAACCACATCCAAAACCAAGTCTAGCAGGGCAAGCTACTATATACAAATAGCCTGCAAAATTCAATCTCCCATTTAACTAAAAAAAATTGTTGTAATATATAGAAGGAACGAGAATATAAGTGGCTGAAAGGATTGAGATTTACATTATGCTTAATGAGAACTTTTATAAAATGATATACCATTGGTATATATCATCAGAGAAATTGTCCAGAATGTATAAAAACACTTCAAATTTATGTTGGAAATGTGAACAACATGAAGAGAAATTTTATCATGTTTGATGGATATGGAAAAAAGGCTAAAACATTCCAGATTTAACTACATACATTGATTCAGGGTTTTTTAAACATTAATATACAGTTGAGATCAGAGGATTTTATTTGGGATTGATGGACAAACATTTGAAAAAAAGTCATGGAACTTTGTTCTTATATATGATAAATGCAGCAAGATTATTGTATGCATAAAGAAAACTAAGGTGTGAAAAGAGACCAAAAGAGGGAAAATTTATTCACAAACTGTAGAATAAAATCATGATGATATACTTCAGACACAAAGTGAAATCCAGTGTTGTATGTATAAATCATGCTTCTGTAACTGGTTGTTTTTGTTTCCTTCTCTCTTTCTGGCTCTTTTACTCACAAAATATACCCTAGAGCAGGGATGTCAAACTCACGTCATCATGGTGGCATCACATGACATATCGGGACTTTTTTCCTCTTCGCTAAACTGGGTGAGGCGGGGCCAGCACATGATGCATCTAGCTTAAGTGCCGTGAATTTGACACCACTGCCCTAGAGGTTCTCTCCTAACCATGGGAGCAAATTTGGAGCATGTTCATGGGGCTATAGAAGAGAGGCCTTACAGTTGATTCTGAGAAGCAATTTGGCCAATAGGTAAACATTATTGCTCTTCATCAAGAAACCAAATAATTTAATTAAGAATTAAAAGATTTGCCTTATGTATTCAAAGTTACCTTTTCTGCTATCATAAAATTATAGCGGAGTGAGTCTCGGGTACAAATAGCTCCCAGTAAAAAAACAAAAACAATGTATAAAAACCACCTGTAAAGAAATAAAAAAAAAATCACAGCTTTTTTTTTAAAAAAATAATGTCCTTAATAGCATACGCTAGTTCAGTAAGCAGTAGGTTTCCTTTGCTCTGAAAATATTTTAATCATTGAAGGTACATAGTATTTCTCATTCTTAACTGCCTTAAGATGCGTGGACTTCAATTCCCAGAATTCACCAGGCAGCTGGGGCTGGCTGGGGAATTCAGGGAATTGAAGTCTACACATCTTAAAGTGGCCAGGTTGAGAAACACCGCATGTTGTGGATGCAACTGAAATAGATAGAAGTTTGAATGCAAATGCTAGAGGAACATGATTTCAATCTCACTCTGCAAGAATGGAAAAAGAGGGCCCAACTATGAAATAGAAGATCCAAAGTTCGAAATTCTACAGTGGTACTTCAGTACTTGACTACTTTACAACACGTCGAATTTGGTTCTCGATGCATTTTGATGTGAAAATATTGTCCCGGTACTCGTTCGTTTGGTATTTGACATATTGCAAAAGGGGGACGACTGCAGAGAACAGTCAGAAAGTTGCCTATGCTGGGAAGGTCACTGCAAAAGAAAGTGGGGAGCAGACGCAGAGCACGGACAGGAAATTGGCCATGCTGGGAAGGTTGCTGATATAGAAAAGGCACAGACAGGAAGTCCTTTCTGGCTGAAAGAAAGGGTCATGTGGTAAGTCACATGATTTTTTTGGCCATTGTCGTTTTTAGTATTCGTTGCTCCTCCCAGAACCAATTAATGATGAGTACTGAAGTACCACTATACAACATAGTTCCATGGAGGAAAAGGGCCCAATCTACCTTTTAATGGGCAGATGTAGGAATATCAATTGTTCCTCTACCATCCAAATCTAACTCCTAGAATAGATCCTCAATTTATCAGTCTGGATCTATTTGCTTAGGACTAAGGATACAATACTAAAACATTTCATAATTTTATGAATTAGGTTATTATAGTTTTTTTCATGACTGTAACAAAAATGCCTAGGAACTAAATTGATTTTTGAAAACAACAATGTTCTTCAAAACAATTAAATCAATTAAATCAGAGTCAGAGAGCTAAGGAACCTATTTGTAGTTATATTTTATTCCGATTATTGTGAAAGAGGTAATTCATTGCCATCATGCATTTACCAGAAGCTGAATTGAACACCCTAAACTAAAACACAGGATATGCCCCTTCAAAGATGCAATATAAAAGTTGGAGTATTGAAAACAACTACAAAAAAAGAATGAGGAAGGGAAAAGGAACAGGAATGAGAGAACAGTAAGAAGAAATGTATTCACATATGTATATCAGACTAGCACTGATAATGTTACCTAGTTTGGGTAATAAAAGGTCTGCAAGCTCAGAGAGCACCAAGGACTCCTTAGTTCAATCCTGACCTATTAATATTCTCCTTTATTGAAATGTATTCAGGCTAATAGTACAGAGTTTGCAACAACTGTAAATGATGATAAAGAGTCAAATCTTTATTTAAAAATATGAATAGCTAAAAAGTAGTTTAGAGGAGAGAGATGATGCCATATAATGAGGAGGGTTCCTACAAGTTTGTTTTCCTTTTCCTTTTTCTTCCTGAAACCATGCCCTGGCTTATGAATATAATATGATTAAGGCTGATAATCTTCTTTCCATGCTCACACATAGCATACCATTCAGTAGTTGGATCTAACTACTCTAAACCTACAAAATATTAGATCCTGATGTTTAATTACTGTGTTAGGAAGTAGCTATCCAGCAAGGAATGTAATCAAATCTTTTTAAAGTTCTGTCTCACATTCTCTGATTACGACTGAAATCATTCACCTGTAAATGAAAATGAGAAAATATCATCTAGACATCAAGGTATCCCATTTACTTTGTGGCAAGATTGGCAGCAAACAAATTTAATGAATTAATAATGAAGCCACTGGTAATGGATCTGCTTTATTTAAGAATTCTTCCTAAAAATCAGTGTGCTGTAAAACATATCTAGGGATTTATAGGGAGCATAAAAAAAAGGCAGCCCACACCTTACATGTCGCTCATGGGGTATTCCGTTCTAGAAAGGAGAGCTAATTATTTATTTGTTATTTGTTATTTATCAGTCCTATAATTATTCTGAAAAGGTTTGTGTTCCCTACATTTGGAAAAGTGAAGAAGATGGGAGAATATTACGGTAAATAATTTATCTCTTTGTAATGTTTCCGGGGCAGAAAGTGATCAGGGATAAACAGCTGAATCCTTGCCAACTTTGATACAGAAGAGGAAGGAAAAAAAGGAAAATTTATTATAATAGGAAATGGATTGACTACAGAACAGATGAGATGAGCAAAAAGTTAGTCTGAGCAGAAAACCTTTTTTTCCCCCCCCAAGGAGGTGTTCCTCTTTGTTTATAAGGACTTACGAAATGCCAATGGCAGATAAAGATCCTAGAGGGATATTCGTTGCGGGTTTCCTGAGATCGCCACTCATATTAAACCCAGCCATCACTCCTGCAATTTGAGCACACACAAAAATAAACACAACAGAGTTAGTGGGCTGTAAGACGATGACCTTTTTTTTTTAGGGGGAAAAAAAAACCCAACCCTGGTGCACATACTGATATCGGTGCCATGTATACAGCTTCATGATTAAGCAACTAGGTATCCACTGGCAACAGGATGCTAACCACATACCCACAAAGAGATTCTTTGTTCTAAATTGGACAATGTACTAGAAGAAAGGCACGGATTTAGACAAAAACAGCTTATCTGAAAACTATCACTTGAAAACAGTCCTTTTCCAAATGCCCACTCACACTGAACTTGGCAGACCTTTCAGCTAGGCTCCCCATTACATGAGTGGTTATCTCCATAGACATGATAGATTCTGACACTTTCACAGGAAACTTTTGTTCCCTGTTTTTTAAAACAATAAGCCTTCAGATTGTTAATGTCTGAGGACTGTTACCTATTCCTTACCTTTTGGATAAAATGGCTCTTTATACAAATAACTAAATTATTTTTTTAAAAAAGTATTAAATTGAACCACAGGAAGTCTTCAGTTTACAACCACAATTGAGCCCCAAATGTCTGTTGCTAAGTGAGGCAGTTGTTAACTGAATTTTGCCCCATTTTTGACTTTTCTTGCCACAGTTGTTAATTGAATCACTGCAGTTATTAAGTTAGTCACACAGTTGTTAAGTGAATCTGGCTTCCCCATTGACTTGGCCTCTCAGAAGGTCACAGAATATGGTCACATGACCCCGGGACACTGCAACCGTCATAAACATGCGCCAGTTGCTAAGCATCTGAATTTTGATCAGGTGACCATGGGGATGCTACAATGGTCATGTGAAAAACGGTCATAAGTCGCTTTTTTCCGTGCCGTAACTTTGAACGGTCACTAAATGAACTGTTGTAAGTTGAGAACTACCCGTATTTCTGAAGTCACACTCACACATTTAATAGGAAACGGAAATAATTATACAGCAACTCTAATACAATTTTATCTTTCAGTTAAAAGACTATTGAGCCATACGTGCAGCCCAAAGTCAATTAATAGGATCAATATCCACCATCTACTTGAGAGCCATCAATCAGTTAGATTGATGTCTTTGCCCAAATAGTGCTTTTCCATTGTTTTAATTCACTCTAGTTACAACCAGGAAATAATCCACAATGTTTGACATATTAAATATAGTTTGATGCTTTCTACGTTCACCCTCTGTTAAAGCAGTTAAGACCTCCATTGGAATAATGACTATCAGCTATAAGTTTATATGTCTTTTTATTAATACATAAGCTTTCACAGTACTAATCATATTTATACAGATCACTGAATTCAGTAGGCCTTATTTCTGAGTAATTAATCTTAGGATTGCTACGCAAGTAAAATACATCAGTCAAAAATAATCAGACAGAAGAATATATTCCAGTTCACTGAATAAGTTTATGGTAAATATTTGTATACATCCAAAACAACTTAACAGTATTTTAAAATCACCTATGGTTGTGACTGATCTAACTGAAAAATCAACATATCCCAGACCTACAAGTTTGCATACAACTCATTTAACAGTTTTATTACTTGGATGATAAAAAGTCAGTTCTTAACTATCAAATGCAAAATATTTGGGAAGAAAGCCAGAGGTTTCTTTTGAAACGCTTTAAGTACCAAGTACCAATTTCTAAGAAATGAGCTGTTTGTGTGACGGTCTTGCTTATGTAACTATATAATAACATTAAATCATTATCCTTGTGTAACTGGGGCACATGGCAAACAAACATACAAACAAAGTACAGAGGTATTCAGGAAAAAAAAAATAACACAAATGCTTCAATTCATAATAGTGAAATTATTTCCTGTCAAGGAAATTGCAAGCCTAGTTTAACACCACTGGAGCAAGGAGTAACTTAGTTCAGCACTATGGATTAGCATCAATGAGACCAAATCATGACCTTGAATTCTGATACGGTACAATGAGGGCTAGAGAAAACTTGGCCTGTGCAGCCAGAGATCAAATGGCTTCTGTCACACCACCAAATTTAGTTAAATTCTCGTTCATTTTTATAAAGAGTGGCTCTCTTTCCTACATTACTCATGCTGCATTCTCCCTCCCAGGGCATAAGAGCAAATTTGAGTTTACTTTTTTTTCTAAAATAAAAAGAGACAAAGAAGCAGGCAGCAAACTATGGGAACAGAATCCCCACCCCAAAAAGCTTTTGCTGAGCAGCAAATACAGATTTATAGAACCGTGTTAGCAGAAGAAGGTGCTAAAAATAATACCAATCAGTTGTGGCTCCTGATGCTGCCCTATATATTCTTTTTTTTTTTTAAATAGTTTTCTACCCATGCATATAAAGATGAAGTAACTTTCATCCATTGCATCTTTTAAATTCATTACAGACCTTTAAAAAAATGGAATAATTTCTTGACTACCAGTTATCTGGAGGATGCAGAAATCAAAACATTTGCTCTCTCTTTGGCCACTGCATATTCTTTAGTAGATTTCAATAACCCCAGCCTTACTCCTTCCTATTATCATTATTGTACCTTTGAGTCAGTATTTATTCCTGGCCACTGCCTGAAAAAGTCCCTGCAGTTTTCGAAGTGGTTTGTTCTTGTCTCCTCCTTCCTGAAGCTGAGAGGGATGGGACTGGCCCAAGGTCACTCAGCTGGATTTGTGCCAAAGGCAAAGCTAGAACTCACAGTCTCCCAGTTTATAGCCAAATTGATTCTTCTAACGCTTCTAATCAGTTTCAGTGTCTTCTGACTTTAACCACTGCAGAAACACCTATCTTGATATCTACTAAAATGCATTGTAATGTGCATCGGGGATAAGCAAACTATTTTGTTTTGTTTTTTTAAAATAATCTTGTAAGAAAAACTCACAAGGCCATATGTCGAAAATATTTTCTACTCGATGGTGCAGGACAGCCATGAGTCATTTATCTCAAAAGCAGCTAGGAAAAAAAAAGATTCTAGAGAAAAAATAAGGCAAGAGGATAAATCAGAACATGTTTTACATGCCCCATAAGTGAGGCAAGGACTAGGGGTTTAGTCTTCCATGCATTTGGACTTGTTCCGGAGCCCATCCTTAGCCTATCCCTTTCTCTGTAAGAATGATCCTGCAATTCTAGGGTGGTTACAGGTGCCAAAATCAATACACAGAGACAATCTGTATCCAACAAAAGATAGAACAAATACTTAAGAGGAGGAAACTGACTTTCTACTAACAGTTCAAAAGAATATGCTGGATCTAGAATAGGAACAGGAATCTAAGAGAAGCAAAGAGTTTGGTGGAGATTAAAGAGTTAGAAAAGAAAATATTTCTTACGCAGTTCAAGATTAAGTTGCGGAATTTCAGTCAGCAGTCGAAGTGATAAAAGGTAATTTGGATACTTTTAAAAGGACATTGGATAATTTTATAAAAGTGCTGGGTATGCCTATATGCTGAATCTTAACCAGCCTGCCTGTCTTAAGTACTAAACTTGCTAGATTTGCAAATTTATCAAATTCCTTTAGTTGTCCCTTGCATGAGACAGAATGCTAGACTAGATGGATCAATGGTCTGATTTAGCAAGCTTCTTTTTGTTTTCTTATTAATCAAAAAGAAGCCAGATGGAAGCCAACATTATGTGTATGAGAAGGGAATGCAAGAATCCTTTTGTATTAGACTGGATAACTTTGTTTCTGATGCTTCTTTGGGATTATAAATAAGAGGGCCACAAGGCTTGGTGGGTAGCTTTTGTTGGTTAAGTGAGGCTTAAGCTGAGAAATTCATGTAAGATACTTTTATTTGAGTATCTCATTTTTAACAATGAAAGTTAAAAATGAGGTACCCTGTTTCCCCCCAAATAAGACATCCCCCGATAATAAGCCTTTTGAGCGCATGGCAATAAGGCCAAGTGCTTATTTCAGGGTTCAAAAAAATATAAGACAGGGTCTTATTTTCAGGGAAACATGGTAGTCAAATAAAATTATTTTACATGAACTTTACCCAGTTTTCCACAGAATATAGAAGTATCCAGAGCCTGGATTCTTATAGAATTTCAGATTATAATCAATTTAATAATGTTAAAACTCCTATCTCTTCTAGAAATTTTTCTTTTACATGCCGCATCACGGAGACTCAACAGGAAGTTGTTTTTTTTAAAAAACTTCATGGGTTCCACCTGCATATAATGAATGAATGAGAGGCAGTTTAAAGCATATTAAGTTAAATACAGATAGTCCTCATTTAGTGACAACCACAGACAGTGACTGTTTGGAGTTATAATAGTGATGACAAAGTAACTCTGCACCCAGTCCTTGTTTTTATGACCTTCACAGGTCTGCAAAGCAAAGGAAAGCTGAGGTAGGATTGTAAGCACAGTCACAGTTTCACTTAATGACTACTTCATTTAACAATTAATTGTCAGTCCCAATTCTGATTGCTAAACAAGGGCCGCCTGTACTATGATGGAATATTACATACCTTTATATACCTATATGTGAGGTTCAGAGTTCAGGAATTTTGCCCAAAGGGAACTGCTTAGAAGGCACAATCTGAACACAATCTGAAGAGTATGGCAAAATAATACATAGAGTAGAGTAGAGTAGAGTAGAGTAGAGTAGAGTAGAGTAGAGTAGAGTAGAGTAGAGTAGAAGAATAGAATAGAATAGAATAGAATAGAATAGAATAGAATAGAATAGAAATAGAATAGAATAGAATAGAATAGAATAGAATAGAATAGAATAGAATGACCCTTTCTTAGCTCTCATCTGACTGATACTGTGATGCTTGGACAGACCTAACGGTTTTTAATATTCTTGTTCAGCCTCCAGAGAGCAAAGGTTTAACCTGCATTTGGCAAATTGTTATCTTCCATACCTAGAGAAACAGTACATGCTTTCCCCCTTCTCCTTTAAACTGGAGAAAATTTTCTGCTTGCAAGTTTAAAAGAGGATAAATAATAATTAGAAAAAAATGACTTCTGAGCAATACATGAGGGTTGCACAAAGCTTTCAAGAGATTCATGGGAAGCATTCCTGCCATGCTACTTTTTTAAGTAACTGATCCTTCTTGTGTCTACTTCTAAAAACTAAGTGACCACACAACTTCACTCTATGTCTGTAAACAACTTGTTGATAAGTCACAAGAAATATGAAATGTTCAATCTGCTGAGTAATTGGGGCTACAAATTTATTTTTCAAATGTTGACACTTTTTTTTGCTATTGTGGCTAGTATGGATACCTATGTGTGAAGACTGTTTCTAGTCTGGCCCTCAGCCTCCAGATCATTCACTGATTCATGCTGATATTAAAAAAACAAGGGGGAAAAAGAACAGAACCCATGGGTTCTGTTCAAACCAGGGGGGTTGAACAGAAATCTTCCATTACCATTTTTCAGTATGGTTCAGAATGGGAATTCGTGCTTAGGAAACTGGATATTCATGCATCACAGTGTTTGAATGCAAAATATTTTCCCTGAGTAAATCTTTATGGCAACCTTGTAAAGCGAGCTTGCTTTTTAATGGCACTAGGCCGACATCCGAAGCATTCTGCATGAATGTCCAGTAAACAGCACAGTTTCTCCACACATGCTTTAAAATATTCTTACACCATTTCACACTGGGAGTCTTTCTGGCTACTGGATTTTCTGGAGAAAGCCAGGAGAACAACATGAAACTTATAGAAGACAGGCCAACAATTTGTAAATAGATTTAGTAGATTAAATTTTTTGGGAGTGCCTGTTTCGGAAGGCGTGGGAACTAATGTTTTAGTAATCTACTGATCAGTATCCAGCTGATGAGGGGATATTATGTGTGTATGTGTTGGGGTTTCTTTTTATGAATTTTTAGAATTGTTTTGTGTTTTTTGACTTTTTTTTCTTTTGGATTTTTTTTGGGGGGGGAGTTCTGTATTTTGTATTTTAATCTTGTTTTGAACAAAATAAAAATATATTTAAGGGGAAACAACATGAGACAAAACCACATAGCACTTTCATGTCATTCTTTAGAAGCAGGGAGCTGTGCTGTTCCATGAAGCAACTACAAAGAGTGCTTTGTTTCAAGAAGTACCAAAGCAAGGGCAGCTCTCTAAAAGTGTGTAAGCCAATATAATGCCTCTTGTAGAAAAAAGTGAAAGGGTTTAGGAATTGCATCAAGGTATAATTATGGCTTATTTGGTTTTAATCTAGCATATTTGGCAAATCCAACCGCATTGAATTTGTTTAATAAATCACAGTTAAGTAAACTAATGTTTCGTGTACTATATGAATCCTGCTTGCAACTTGGCTGATACCATTCAAGGCTGAACTGGGAGGGTTTAGCATACGTTGGCCTCTCATGTATCAACTGATTAAAAGTTGGGAGCACTGCATTTCCCATCTCTTGTTAGTCTGGCTTCACTAGTTAGAGAAGGTATACAATCCCATTTCCTGACGAGAGGGGGCCAGGGCTGATCTATCCTGCATCGATGAAGGGATTGGTTTGAGATTTACAGCATCTAAGGCATTCCTGAATGCTCTGGGAGCTTTTCCACGCTTAATGCCTTCCAATTCTATTGAGGCCCTTGACAAACCATAAGCTAAGAAGGAAGACTTTGTTTGTTTGTTTGTTTGTTTGTTTGTTTGTTTGTTTGTTTGTTTAGCATATGGCAAGTAGAAGGAGCACAAATTCCAGGACTCCCAAGAGCCCTCTGTGGTTATGGGAAGCCTGTAATGCCCACTATTTGCTGATGAATCTGGGCTTTGAATCAAATGGTTACAATAGAGGTGTAGTAAATCTTGAGTAAAGTACAACCAAATGCCCATTAGAGTACACGCTAAATATACACCTATTGAATAAATGTGGTGGAAACATTTTATTTTCATATCTGCCCCAAATTAGGTAGGATGTTATTACAGAATCAATGTAGGTTGTAGTGGGATAATCTGGTTAGAGTTTGTTGGAAGGGTTTCAATTATTCCGGCCCCAGAAAGTAGAAGAGAAGATTGTGGGTTTAGCCTATTACTTATTCTCTCTTAGCTGCTGGACCACCTCTGGAATGGTTGGATAACTTGGACTGCTGCAGTCCGGAGAAGGGCAGAACATTTCAGCTTTCTCCAGAATATTTTGTTCTTGGAGAAGTAGGTATTGTACAAACACAGTTATTGTCCTCAGCACCTCTGAGAATTTCCTAAATGTATTCAAATGCTCATTGTAAAGCTAAACATTGAATGCTAAACTAGATGGCCAAATTCAGATTCTTTCCAAATTTTGCAGTACATCCTCTAAAATTCCCATCAAATTCCATGGTACCTGTGGCAGCTGGGAAGAAGACACCAAACACAGTGAAGAAAGATTCTCCTGAGTTGTAGTCTGGCAGTGTGTTGTTCAATAGAAGCTCCTCTGAATAGCCAACAAAGCCATTTTCTGTGGGTATGAAAATGGAGGGGAGCACAACATTAGCATCACAGGCCGTTGTAATTTTTAAATTCTCCTAAAAGCATATTCGAAAGGAAACTATTGTTATACATCATAGTTTGGAAATTAACAGGATATTCTGTACTTAGAACATTGAAAACAGTGATTAGGAGTTCACTGAAAGATAACCTTTTCTGTCAATTACAGATAGTCCCTAACTTACAATCATTCATTTACTGACTGTTTGAAGTTACACAAGCACTGAAAAAGGTGACTTATAACTGGTCCTTGTACTTATGACTGTCACAGCATCTCCACCATCACTTGATCAAAATTCTATAGAACCGGTAGTAAAACCGGCAGGAGGCCCCGCCCACTGACCCCGACATCACCAAAACGCTTCTGCACATGTGGCCCCACTGCGAACCAGTAGTAAAGGTAAGTAGAACCCACCCCTGGGTCACATGATGATCCTTTGTGACTTTCCCAGCCACTTCCAACAACCAAAGTCAATGGGGAAACCGGATTCTCTTAATGACCATATGCTTCACTTAACAACTGCAGTGATTTGCTTCACTATCATGGCAAAAAGGTTGTAAAATCTGGCAAGAGTCACTTAACAACCACCTTGCTTAGCAATAGAAATTCTGGTCCCAACTGTGGTCTTAGGTTAAGGACTACCTATATATAAAACACTCCAAAGAATTCACTTTTCTATAACTTGAAAAGAGTTTATAACTGAAACTCCCATTCAGTGAACTATTTAGAAACTCAGATTGTACATACACTTATTGCTCCATGTTCTATTGTTAAATAACCTGGTTTAGATGTAGGTGTTTTAATTGTATAACACAATGTGAAGATATATAAAGTCTACCTTGTTCAGCACAAAAGAGATGTACATTGCAGTTTTTATCTCTACTCTCTTCAGTCCCTATGCCTGTTCTTATTTTTAGTCTTTACACATCTTTGAAAATGGCCCATTTTCCATAAGCTCACTTGAAGTCAACAGCATCATTCCTAATCTTCAAGGAACATTAGATCTTACACTGAAATATAGGACATCTACCAGGCTTCTGGAACGCAATGTAAGAAGAAAACTGTCTAATTGGCTGAACAAACACCTCCAGTGGTTATTAACAAATAGCTCCCCATTGCCTTGGAAAATAGCACTCAGCTGATGCCACAGTGATTGTCCATAATGTCTTGGCCCTGATGCTATTTAATTTTTTTGTTAGTAACCTGCATGAAAAGACTGAGGGAACATTAGAAAATCTGCAGCTGTCAAGAAACTAGGAGGAATAAGGCAGGTTCTTCTGAAAAGAATGAGAAGATTCAATATGTTCTAAACAGACTTGAATGATGGGCTGAAAGAAACAGGGTGAAATTTAACTGGGAGAAATGTCAAGTCTCACATTTGGGAGTAGGGGAAGGAAAGTTACATTTATTGAATGGGGCGGGGAGACACCATACTGTGTTGTGGTATACGGAAAAAAAGTGTGGTTGTTCTAGTGTAGGATTCCTTCAGCTGGGTTCCTCAAGGACTGGAATAGTTTCCTCAGCATTATGGGGACCAAAAACAAACTTATTGCAAGGGAATAAGACTGAATGGGGGAGGGGGAGAAATCCTGTGGAGAGGTTTTTTTCTCCTCCCTTTGTCCCTTGAAAAGATTCTAAGCTTTCTAATTTAGAACCTAAGATACAGTGGAAAGGATAAAGCTTGTCAGATGACGTTTAAAAGCCCCACTCCTACTAATCAGGAGATCTGGTTACATTTCCTGGTTGAAAGTTTCAAACCCCAGGTCTAGTTGATGACAAGTTAAACATGAGCCAAGAGTGCAAAGCAGGCAAATGCAATTTTGGCATGTACTAGCAAGGCCATAGAGTCCACATCACCAGAAATTATTGTTCCATTCAATTCTGCCTTTATTGGAATATTACATCAGTTCTGTAGTTTAAAAACAGCACCAATAAATTGGAATGAGTTGAGAGGAGATATACTGAGTTGATGAGAGAAGCCAGTGTGTTTTGAGGAACAATGAAAGAAACTGATATGTTTAGCTTTTGTGTGTGTGTGGGGGGGGGAATCTATTTGGTTGGTAGGGGTTGAAAATGACTTGAACATAGTTAATCAATGTTTTGCTTGCAGAAGAAGAGATTGATGGAATAATTATTAATAGTCTTCAGAAATCTAAAGGATTGTCATATAGGGAGGAAAGTGGACTTGTTCTCAGTTGGTCTGAAAGGTATGATCAACAGTTCTCTGTTGAAACTGCAGGGAAAGTCAAGTTAGATTATTAGGAGCAATTTCCAAATGTCAAGAGCTACTGTATCAACTAGAGGAGCAGATTGTTCCTTGAAATGATATATTCACTGGACAGCCTCAAATACAGGCTGGATATTTATCTGCCCGAAGATTCTACACTGAGCAGAGGGTTGGGCCAAATGATGCTTAAATCTTTTTGAACTGTGTGATTAGATGAAACAGTTGGAAAGAAACCCACATGTACTACACCAGAGATATTTAACACAACATTTTAAATGAAACATAGCAGTAAAATTATATATTTAGAAAAAGGAAGTGGAGATTCTGAAGTTCAGATACTGCTGAAATAGAATTTCCAATCTTTATCACCTTAGGGAAAGTTTTTCTAATGGCAAAGATATTTGGGCGATACCACCACTTTCCTATCCAAGGAAAGTTGGCCTCAGTTGTCTGGGCCTGTTGGACATCTGGCAGAGGTCAAGAGAATCACAGTGGTCATTTCTATCTCCATTGTTAGACATTGCAAAAAAACAAAATTGTTCCTATTGTCTTGAATAATGATTACTGAGCCATGGAACCTGAGGCATGGTGACTATTATTCATTTGTGAAGTTTGAAGAAGGCAAAACACAATAAAACTTTATTTTTAGCTCCCTGGGTAAAATTATTAGGATCATGTCTCCTCCTCATAAAATATGCCGAACAACCATATTTTATCCCTCAGATGTCATCACATCCCAGATTAAGAGCATGATGGGTGTCATTGCAAAGAACACAAGCAATGTGAAATAAACATCCATAATCTCCACTAGCTTTCTTAAGTAAATAGATAAACTTCCTATTTGCTCTCTAAATCTTACTGGAGGTAAGATTTGTTTTTGCACATATTTAAGAGCCCGTATGTGAGGGGGGAAAATGTTGTGTTTTAAAATTTTAGAAATGTTTAGCATTTTGCAGAATAGGTCAGATCTCCAAACTTTGGAAAAGTATGAGATTTCTGTCTACTGATTTGAGAACTTGGAAAATTACCCAAGAGGTGAAATCCCTGCCAGTGAGCAACGGTTATATGGGGAGAGCTGTTATGTAACTGCAACAAAGATATCCACCATGGCAAGTTCTGTGAAAGCTGGACTTCATCACAGATTACTCAAGTTTTGGGTCGAATTCAAGATAAAGCCAGTTCAAAAGTTAAAGCTTTGCAAATCTTGGCACTGGGGCCGTAGTGTGAAACCTAATAACACAACACTGAAAATATTCTTAAAGGATTATCACCATGCCAAGCTGTTCTTATAATGGGGGTTGTGGGGTGAGGAGATGTTGAAACAACAAAAAAAAAAGGCTGTAAAAATAGGAGCTTAAATCAAAATTCCAGAGACTGAAGGAAAAATACCTGACTCAAGCTTTAAATGTTTTCAGATGCTAGAATGAAGGGATTTCAATTAAAACTGGCATGCAGTATGCATCCTAATGGATTTATTTTATGCTATTCAGCAGTATATTTTCAACTCTTTATAAAGCAGCTCCATAATACATAGGATATTGGTAAATAGAAGTATGCTATGTATGATGCCCATGTCTCTATAACTGAGTATTTTGTTATCGTGTTGAGGATAAGCAAAGGATTTTTTTAAATTATGGTTTTCAAATCTTTTGAGACCCTAAATTAATGATACAATTTCTATACTATAATGTTATAATTTTTTATTTTATTTTACTTGATTTATTTTGTGTGTGTGTGAGAGAGAGAAGGAGGGGGAGAGAGAAGGAGGGGGAGAGGGAGGGAGGGAGGGAGGGAGGGGGAGAGTTCTGGAGAATGTGTACAATATAAAAATAATTAGAATTCAGCACTCATGAGCTTATGCTATATCTCAAGAGACAAAGAGCAAGCACACCTAAGAACCAATTTAAGTAAGTCACAATAAAAAAACACACATCATAATCTATTTAGTTCTTGGACTGGAGAAAAAAGCTTGGCTATTTTAATTGTTCTATTTCCATATGAGATAAGGGCATTCTTACCAGTAATTTCAGATGAAATATTAGCTAGCAAGGAAAGTTACTTTTAAGGGCTTTTCTGGCCAGCCTAGTTGCCCCAACACCAGAAATGGCCAGCAACCATTCTTTGATGATGGTCACTAAGGGTGCTATTCAGCAGGTTCTGACAGAACCGGTAGCAGAAATTTTGAGTAGTTCAGAGAACCGGCAAATATCACCTCTGGCTGGCCCCAGAGTGGGGAGGGAATGGGGATTTTGCAGTATCCTTCCCCTGGAGTGAGGTGGGAATGGAGATTGTGCAGTATCCTTCCCCTGGAGTGGGGTGGGAATGGAGATTCTGCAGTATCCTTCCCCTGCCACGCCCACCAAGCCACGCCCACCAAGCCACGCCCACAAAACCAGTAGTTAAAAAAAATTGAATTCCACCACCGGATGTCACTCTTCACTCAAAACAACCACTTCATAAGCGCATGGCACAACATAGGAGAACAAACACATCAGGACTAGATTCAGCAGTCCATCTCCATTTAAAAGACACAGGCCACTCTTTTGAAGACAGCAAAGTCCACATTTTGAACAGAGAGGACCGCTGGTTTGAAACAGGGGTCAAAGAGGCCATCTATGTCAAAACTGAACAGCCCTTTCTCAACAGAGGGATACAATATCATCTATCTCCAATCTACAACACAGTCCTTTCAACAGTTCCAAGAAGGCTCTACACCAGTGTTTCTCAACCTTGGTTGCTTGAA